GAAGTATCAGATGTTCTGTAAAATGTAAAGAAGCGTTGACAATTGCAGGTCACCCACTTCTACATTAATAGAACACCATGTAGGTATAAGCTGTATAAACTTTTATACAATTTGCGGAGACACCAGGTTATATGGCAAGTTATTTTCAACAACGGAATCAGGTGAATCTAGTGTATGTCAAATAGAATGTATGTAGCACTCTTCACAGTTCAGCAAATATACGTGACATTGTTCTGTGAACATTCACATAACGAGGCATTTAGCAATACAATTATTTGTAAACGGTTTAATTCGGGATACATCAACATTCTTTTTATAACATTATGTAAATCTGTAAGTTTACCGGATGGCCAGATATCTCTGACCCGATGTCTGCCCAGTAAGGTAATATGGTGTTATTTTTAATGAAAACAGACCGGTAACCCATTTTCGAAAACATCTGAGAGTTGGAACTTTGAGAGACTCATTCTAAGAAAGTGGTAGAATGGGGCAAGAACACCCAAAATTTAGTTAACACCATGCGCAGTCATCTGTAAAGTACCACACTATATGTAGAGAATGAATTAACAGTTTGCCACATCACTAATATGTTAATATGTACCCGATATTATGCGTATTGCAGTTGATGAGTATTATTTTGACTACCTCGTATGCGGAACTCGGATAAGTTATGAAAACGCGCAAGATCCGCTATTGGACATGGTCACCGTAGCATGTAATGCAAATCAATAAATCTATTTCATTAATTATTGAATATTCCCCATGTTACGCAATTTATTCATTTTGTGGCCAGACAAATACGATAATATACAGATAATTCGCTTTGAGATGTTGTTAATATCCGATCAGTTCTCTCAGCGAGTGTCGCACCTTTATCTGTTGAACAATGTATTAAGTTAGTATAACATAGAAACGAGAAGAATATGTAAATATGTCTTGTGTAATTGAATAAAAAGCATACTAATACGACATGGAAGGCAAGTAGTTTGAATGAATAAGTTTGTGTTCTTTTAGTGTGTAAGATATATGCAATTTTTTTAAATTGTAACCAAGGACTGTGTAATCAGCGGAAACTAATGCGGAACTAGTCTGTTCTTACAAACGACGGGGGTACCATTTACATGAAAGCAACCAGGACTGTGTCTGTAATGGAACCGAAGGAGGCTCAATCACGCCAGTACTTTTCTGTAATACCATAATATTCAAAATTCACCTCGTGTCCAAAATCAAAGCACTGACTTACATATCATTTTGCATTGAGGTTCGCGAAACGCTTGGAAAAAACAGTGCTATAATCATACATATCTGTAATGCAGCGATCGTTTCGAAGAACTATCTCAAATTTTAAATAATTTGGTCATCTCCGGTATAACTAATAAAATTAAGCTCACATCCTGATCAAGAGTACGCAACATAAAAAATGTTTATGTACAACCCCTATTAGAAATTTGACAGAATTAGAAAGGAGAACGGCTCTAAATTTACAAAACACTATTATATCTTTTATCTTCTTTAGCTTACTTGCTGCTGACACGTGAGACGTCAAGCCCTATTTCATTTGGTCTCCCGTGTCCGTTATACCAAAATACGTGGAGGTGAATCATATGTGAGTGGTTGATTGAAAAAAAACTTTATATAAGTCAAGACTGTGTATAAGAAAGGAATAGTTCATCTCGCCGTTATCTCCCTGTGGACACATATTTCACTGTCAGCAGGTGGATACAGTAATGAGAACTTTGACATCATGAAACTTCCTTTCTATTTTTATCAAAAGGCGAAGACATAGAGTCTACTACATATGAAGACCTTTCAAACTGACCCGATATTTAACATTCTTGGATATTTACGGGATAGTGCAATAAACAGAGAACCCGATGCCACTTCCCATATAAAATGTCCATCTGATTCTTAATTTTCTAACTTGATCTTTTGTTTCATGTAGTGTGTGTGTCGGGATATCCAATACTTTTACTGAACAGGCGCAGAAATTTAACGTTTTATGTTTCTGCACCAAACGAACTAATGAAGGCGGACATACCCTATACGCAGCTTTCTTTAAGGATGTTTTGATGGGACATCGCCGTTTACTCCAACTCTTTGTCGAATTTCAGCTGCCAAAGATTTTTTTCAAAGGGAATGATTCCAGTTGGATTATTGGGTTATATCATACGAGATGTATTCTAGTGTGTGCGTAAATGGGCTAAACCTGTTCGATTATTAGTCAAAATAAATAATAAAACTGAACAATATATAGACGATTTTTTTCGGCTTGTTTTCTCCTGTCTTTCGAAGAAAGCAGGGGACTATTAAAATGGGTTTGTCCGTCTGCCTCTCTGTCTGTCCGTCACACACGTTAAACCCCATTTCATTTCATTTCATTTCTGGCTAGAATGTTCAAACTTGGTGTAAGTGTTTATTAGGTTGATGCCTTGATGGCGTTCGAAGATGGGCATTTTCTGTTTAGATTAAGCAGAGATAAGAAATTTGACTGGTTGATGCTTTGGGACACGATATTTAAGTGAGAGTGATGAAACTTGGTGTATAGTTTCATCACATCAATACCTTGACTAAGTTCGATAACAAACATTTTCTGATGAGGGTAAGCAGAGCGATAACCAATTTGATTGATCGAGACTTTGAAACACAATAAATCTCCTTCTGATTGAGCTAGAATGTTCAAACTTGGTGTAGGCGTTCATTACGTGAATGCCTTCATGGAGTTCAGTGATGAACATTGTCTGCTTACCGTAAACAGAGAATAGCAATTTGATTGGTTGATGCTTTTGGGCACGCACGATAACTGTTATAATTAAGTGAGAGCTATGAAACTCCGAGCATAGATTCATTATATCATTACCTTGGCGAAGTTTGATAAGAATTGTCTGCTTACGGTAAACAGAGAATAGCAATTTGATTGGTTGATGCTTTTGGGCACGCACGATAACTGTTATAATTAAGTGAGAGCTATGAAACTCCGAGCATAGATTCATTATATCATTACCTTGGCGAAGTTTGATAAGAATTCTCTGCTTGGGCTAAGGAGCGATACACAATTTGATTGGTCAAGACTTTGGAACATAACAACTCTACTTTCAAATGATGTAGAATGTTTAATGTTGATGTTCATTAGGTGAATATCTTGACTAAGTTCAATGACTAACATTTCCCGCTAAAGCTAAGCAGATCTAAGTAATTTATTTGACTTTGATAGAGAGTTATGAAACTTAGTGTATAGTTTATAATCAGTTTGATTGCTCGATACTTTTGAAAACGATAAACGTGCAATTAATTAATATGTGTCATCTATTTATTTTCGGGATTTCGGCGGGGGACATCAGCCTTACTGTTGGCTTGTTTTCGACTTTTAGTTTCATTTTGGGCTTAATGTGTAGACATTCAACAGAATGTCAGTTATATTTCAACACTTGGTCTTATCTATATGCGCAAAGTGTTCAGCGCAAAAATTTTAGTAAATAGAGATTGCCACTCCACAAGGCAAACAGACATGTAAACTCGACCAGGTCCTGTCATTCTAAGGATCCTTAGTAATTACATCCAACATTGTGATTACTGTGTTAATCGTTTGCACTCAAATCTTTAGACAAAAGCGGAAACTAAAAAAAGAGGTAAAGAGGGAAGTTGTTGTCTAAAAAGACAGATAAACTAATAAATGTGAATCCCCTCTCAAGCAACGGGAATCTTTTGTAAGATTTAGATTAAATTTGTCTGAAAGCGGGAATCTAATTAGAGGGGTTAAGTACTTCAAATGCGAACATGTCGAGTTTTCTCCTTGGGATTCAACAAATTTTCACGATCAGTGGAAACAATCTGTAATTGATAAATCTCTATTCTGGTTCACATCTCGATAACTTAATTCCATATTATCATCTCCGAACTTAAAAATATAGTTATGTCTGGCAGTTATTGAAATCGTTTAATGTTTTAATTGTGTGCGGTGAAACGTCTATGTTTCCGATCCTGGTCTGAGTCATGGTTAAAGTAATGAATACCATGAACTTAGTAAATTAAGTACACACACGAACAAAACACTCTCGCACAAGGATGTCATGTTAGATTGATAGTCGGTTTCTTTAAAATAAAAAATTCTTTAAACGTCTCAAATTAAAAGACCCCATGCCACGTCCCGTGCACGTCATTATTTATAGCTAAATTAAGCGATAGATTGGATTTATAAACCAAAGCTACTGCATACACAATGTATCTCGGCGCCCATGGTCTTTAGCAGGGTAACTTGCCTTAAGGTTGAAACATAAAATTACATTTATTTCTTTCAGAAATGAAATGAAAGTCCTAGTTTTCTGCAACAACCGAGTTACTGAAGACACACGGTCATACGCCATACAGTGTGATATGTAGGCAATTGTGTCCGGAACGCAATTCAATTCAAACTGTCAAGGGTTCTTTAACATGCACGCCGATGTGTACACGGGTCTTCGGTTTTTCATCCTACCAGACCGACTAGATACTTTCCCTTGCCAATTCCTTCGTTCTGCACCACTGACTTTGCGTAAAACCATGTGGAAAATCCCTGGGAACATTCTCGGCTAACACCGGGATCGAAGCCCGAATCTGTTGTGAGCCAGTGACAAGCTTCAAAATGATGGTTGAACACGGGTTCATTTCATTGTCTCCTTGAATTGATCACTAATTCGCCACCTTTCATGAAACTAGAACTTATTGTAGAAGATTTCCGTAGCTGTTCCCGCTAATGTCATTTGATTAATATAAGTAATATTTGATGGAATAGTAGATGACAACATTCTGGTCTTATCCAACGAAGCGATAAGAAACCAATATATATCGCAGTTCATTCAATGCCAACCAATATAATTAACCCACTGTTAGGAATACACCAATGCAAGATTTATTTGAGGAACGCTTTAAATGCGTGATTAATTGGGCAGTTAAGATTAATACATCATTTATTTGATAAACTAATCAATTCTGTTTATTAAAATGGTATTTTTGTTATGTTTCAGTTCTCTCCCTTGTATCCAGTATTTTCACCTTGACGTTCATAGCCTGTGACAGATTTTTTGGTATTGTGTTCGCCATGAAGGCACATTTTATAGAAAGGCGGGCAAGATATACTATAATAGCTATGTGGGCATGTTCTTTGGTAGTGGCTACCCCCCTTCTTGTATACCGAGATCTGTACGTGGTACATTGGAAAAATTACATTGAACGGTGGTGTGATGACCAATGGCCGGTGTCGCACTACGTTGATCCACTGACAAATATGACACTACATACAATTCCTGCCAGAAAAATATATTACACGGTTGTTTGTGTTGTGTTGTTTTTTCTGCCATGCGTAGTGATGTCTGTTGCGTATGCTGTGATAATATGGACATTATGGGCCTCGCAAGCTCCGGGAGAACGAATGACCAAGGATATAAAAGTTCAAAGTAAATTAAAGAAAAAGGTTAGAGTTTTATTTGTATTTTTATTATTTTAAAGAGGAAATTCTCAGATAGTGCGGCAATGGGTTAAATATATCGGGCAACATATCACAGATCCCTTTAAATTACCAATACAGCGGAGGGAGGAATCTTGCAGGGTTGTGCTGTCACACAATATATTGATCATCTTTCAGGCGCCCTTTGTTTTCATATAACATTCACAACATCTGGTGTCATGGCTTAACAAATCCGCGTATTTATCAAAAGGCTTCTTTATCAGGAGACTTTTCCGCTAAACGGATGTTTTTATCAATGGTAGCCAACGGCACTAGTACATCTTCACAGCTTGGTCAATTACTTCCAGAAATTGGCTAAATTATCCATGCCTTTTAATCTAATGTACTCTTAATGTCTGAACATTAGTGAGTATTTTTAAAGGAAGCGCATGTAAGAATAAACGGCAGACATATTTTAAGATGACACAATCAGCGGTAGTTTTCCTTAAAAGCATATTGCTCAAGACGGTATTCAAATCATTCAATCCAAAAGTCAATATAGCCAATACTCTAGTTTGTTTTGATTTCATGTTGTCATCTTATATGTGATTTATTGATTGCCTGGGATCCTCTTGTTTGTTTATATTTGTTTTACATTTTTATATTACTATCCATATTAAAGTGCTATTAGTCCAATATCAGGCACCTGCTACTATCAACCTCTAGTGACAGTAATCCACCATCATCTACCTGATACTATCAACCCCTACCTAGTGATAGTAAACCACCATCATCTACCTGATACTATCAACCCCTAGTGATAGTAATCAATTACCAGATACTACCATCCCCAGTGATAGTAATTCATTATTCTCTACCTGATACTATTAACCCTTCTACTTGATACTATCATCTCCCAGTGACAGTAATCCATTATCATCTACCTGATAGTACCACCCCCTAGTGACAGTAATCCATTTTCATCTACCTCATACTATTAACCCGTAGTGATAGTAAACCACCATCATCTACCTGATACTATCAACCCCGATTGCCCATTGGTTCGCGACCAGAAACGTCATTTTGTTTATTTTACGTCATTAGGACCAGATTAGCACGCCATTTGTCCACTTATCATTCACTTTAATTTGGCATATGATTGGTCGCCCAAAAATAACAATTCGCGAGAATTCCCCACGGGTTTCACTTTTACGAACAATATGTCACTTTTGAGGATTAGATATATAGACAGCCAGTTTTATTAAAGCGAATTTCTGGCTGTGTGGGTCACCTACACATTTTCATTATATGTATATAGTAAAACGCATTTGGGGAATCATCAAATAAATTGTTGAAGTGGTTTGATAATCGTTTTGCAGGACGTAGTAATGAATCGGGGGAAGTCAATGATCAATAAATGATTCCAATCATATGAAATACTTTATAGCGTGTAAACACTTAAATATTATGTTCCGTCTGGCACATTTAACCTCTTGTGGTTATTCATGCCGAGAGGAAGATCATGTCGACCACATTTATCTATACGTAATGGCAAAAAGTGCCATTAAACTCGACAGCTATCATTTTTAAGAGTGCTTGTCATATATTGAGTGTGCAAAAAATGAATCTTATTTTAATGGTGTAGGATAATGTGGTAGCAACCCTCCCCAACAAATTTGTGATAGTTTTTTGACAAAGGTGTATGTCTAGTCCAATTAATAACTGGAATTTTGGGCGGGTTAACCTGCCTTTGCATTACATAGTGGTGCTAACGTACAAGGCAAGTAATATTAAAAACGCCTCTTCTTCTTGAAAAGAGTGTTATAATTTGACTTTACACGTATGAATATTTAATAACCCGTTACATTTGAAGATGAAGGCCAGAGGCTCTTAAGAATTTATTAAGTATTGATCAATAAATCTGTCATCATTATTTTCGCGAACACCCTGCATATACTTTTTTTAAAATCCATATACCACACTATGCAATGGATATTTCAGAAATTTGTGGGTAGGATATTGTCAATTGGTATGTGCTTACTGCATGTGCAATGTTCAAGAACACAATTTATTGTATTCGAATGTCAAATATAAAGTTCAAAATTTGAAGGGTTTAAGCCACGAGCTCTACAATGTCTGTAAGATTCGATACATTAGCTGTGAGTTAAATGATCCTGTGGAGATGGGTTTTATCGCTAGCATTTCGTTCTATTTGATCCTCCATCCACTAATATCACAAGAATTAAATAGTGATTTACCAATAGCTGTAAAGTACACAAAGGGGTAACAAATATGCCAAGCTAATCTCCAGTTTGATTGATATGATCGACAATAATACAAACTTATACTGCTTGAAATATTACTGACTCTTCCAAACGGCACTTAAAAATATATTAGTTGTCGAATGCAATTGATAGTCTGGACCGTCTATCAGATATGTTTGTTATCTATGAAAGCCCGTTAGAGCCTTTAATTTGATGGCATCACTTTAGATGAAAGTTCATAAGGATCTCCATCTTAAGAATCTTTATTATTAAAACAAGTCAAATTGGATTTATGATCAGAGGGCAATTGAAATAAAAGAAAATAACCCGTCCCAACCTTTTGAGTCTTCCTGCCTTGCAGAGTGAATATATTTGAAACCATGCCATATTAAGAATCTACTATTCTAAAAGACAAAAGACAACCCCGTGTTATATCATCGAGATTACCAAGATACTAGAGTCACTTGAAGTGTAACCTTGGTCATCCGGACATCCATATACTCTGGGTCATCTGGATACTATATTACACATGCAAGACATTATGTGGTAGGACCTGTTAATAAACACAGATGTCCTAGATCACAGTTATCAGTCGTTGAAGACTGAAATTACAACAAACTGTTTTCGTGTGGATTAACCTGTTGGAGCTCTAGATACCCTTTTAAGCATCACATCAATCAGCAGTTGATGTTTTGGAGTCCGTCATTCACAAAAAACATGTAATTTTGGGATAGTTAATATACATTACCAAAAGTAAATTCATCTAGCCAACAAATGTTTGTGTACTTGGTGACAAAATCTGTCAAATATTGCAACCTGTAGAGTATTTACAGACAAAACATTAAGAAAAAAGTGTATGGGTCGGGCATTCACCAAAAGACAATAGAGATCATCCTAAGGGTATAAGGAATGGGTATGCAAGGTTTCAAAAGCATCTGTTAAGAATTGCTACCTGTAGGAGAAACATAGACACACACACACAAAAAAAAAAAAATGGGTGTGGCTGTGTCCAAGGGGATCGGGCATAGAGGTCCCCTTTAGAGTATAAAGAATAAGTATGGAACTTTTTTAAGGCGGTCGATTAAGAATTGCGGCCTGTAGGCGACGCAAAAAGAAAATAGGAGTGGCTCTGTCCCTGGGGGATGGGCATGCACCTCAACCAATAGTGATGTTCCTTAGAGTCTAAGGAATAAGTATGCAGTGTCAAGATGATACGCTGGTGATGCAGCCTGTAGACGACAAATACAAGAAATGGCTCTGTCCCTGGGGTAGGGCATGCACCAAAAACAATAGGGATCATCCTTAGGGTATAAGGAATAATTGTGGAAAGTTGCAAGACGATCAGTTAAAAATTGCGCCCTGTAGGCTTCAATCCGCATGCAATATGTCGGTTTGGACAACGAAACCCACTAATAAGCCTTATATTTGCAAGATGTCCAGGCGAGCCTACTATAGAGATGAATCTCGCAAGGTGTAGTGGTGGTAGGCTCTATATTATGTCCAATAAAATTACGATATTTTGGCTTTATTAGGAGTTTTGATATTCCCACATGCATTTTCTTGTAATTGTACTCACCCAATTAAAGTACTCCACGATCTATAATGTACATATAATGTGATTTTTAATAATTCGCAATCCAAGCGTTAAATCTAAAAATTGGAAAGTATGATTTCCGGCAATATAAAACCTATTTAGCACGGTTCATCTGGTATTGTACCATAGGCAAAATATTGCAATTTACTATGAATTGATTGGATATGATAAAATTATTACAGAATAACATTTAAGATAATTTCGAAGTTGATAAAATTATGACATTCCATGTCATCAATAAAATATTATTGAAATGGCCTCAAACTACAAAAAAGGATATTATAATAATTGAGAACATTCTAGCAAATATTAACCCTATTTTGAACGGTTCAACAGGAAATGTACTTTTTAACAAAACTATTTATTCATTATTTACGAGGATATTCAGTCTTAATAATTGTATATGTTTAAAATCCCCCAAAGTATCGTAGACATATAATAACCATACCATTGGTAGATAATTATGAATATTCTCCTTATTTCGTATTTCCCTTAATAAAACTATAAAGAGAGGGCAATGAATGAATTTGTTTAAACCTAAAAGTACTAGTTGAGAGATTTACGTTGTCTTGCTTTATGCAATGAATTCCTAATCTAATGTTGTTAACCAACTAGAGAATACGTATTTTGCAAAAATAAGGTATAACTGATAGATATTTATAGCTCTTAGAACAATTGGGGTGTAGTTTTATAAGGTCTAATATTCTGAGTGCTTCGTTTCTGGCAATCTGGAATAAGTTATTTTCCTAAAAGATTCACCACCTTTCTTTCTTTTGCTTACATATTATTGGTGAATCGTTATTTGATTCGGGTGTACCTCGCTGCATAATGCATCGATTCTTTCTAAGACCCTGTGGTGAAATACGGTTGCTTCAAAGCAAACTATATCGGTATTTTAAAATTCATTATTTTGAAAGTTGTTATTCCCACCGGAATACAATACAATATATATTATTTTAAATATTGATTTCCCGAAACACCATTTTCCCACCGTGAAGAAACTTAACCACTCAAACACACCCACGTAATGAATGCAAATTCAAAGACAAAATTTAATTGTTTAAAAAATGTAGTTTTAAAGTTTTTTACATTTTTTTTTATCAAGTACTGATGACTTTAAAACATCAAACGTTTGAAGTCAAACATTTTTTGCTATGACATTAAAAATA